AATCCAGTCTCCTTCAACTCCTATCTCCCATAGATCCCGCCTGACATTATCCTCCCATCTACGTCTAGGTCTCCCCAGAGGTCTCTTCCCCTCAGGCTTCCCAAATAGTGGACCCAACCAACCAGATGGCTTACGGAACCCGACGGTTCATCACCGAATTAACCAAAGCCCTCCACCGGACCCTGTCCTGGGCCAACAAAATCCAGTCTCCTTCAACTCCTATCTCCCATAGATCCCGCCCGACATTATATTCCCATCTATGTCTAGGTCTCCCCAGCGGTCTCTTCCCCTCAGGCTTCCCGACCAATACCCTGTGCACTGCAGCTTTTAATTTGTGTACACAGAGGAAAAGTTGGTGACTTCAGAACCAAAATATTAGTGGGGCAATGCTGTAATGACATTGGAAACCGTTTTCATAGCTTCCAGATTACTGTTGTGTAACTTTTTGAATGCTTCAAGGGCCAATCCTTGTCTGTCACGTTTATTAGCAAAAATGAGATCATGGGTCGCATGTATATGCAGGCGTGTGTGTACCCATAGCAGTATTTTTATTTGTGGCTAAAATTGTGACATAAAGTGAAATAAATGCGTTACCTTGTTTTGTTTTCATACAGGGAACTTTAATTCGTGTATTCGACACATCCTCAGGTTCTATGATCAATGAATTACGGAGAGGAGCCAACACTGCGAACATTTACTGGTGAGAAGTTATTTTACTTGTTAGTGTTATTTGTTAATGATGAAAATTAGAAAATTACTTGATTATGGCTTCTATTCAGCGTTCTGTGATCTGAAATCAATGTTTGTAAGACGTCTGAAAAACAGCTTGTTGTATAATGACAATTATATTGTTTACAGTATAAATTTCAATAATGATTCATCGTGGCTCTGCGTCTCCAGTGATCATGGCACTGTGCATGTGTTTGCCGTTGAGGACCAGAAACTGAATAGACAATCCAGGTACTGCCATTAGCTCCTGTGACCCAGAGAGCAGATACACGTCAAGGCTCCGAAGGAAATCTGTCGGAATATTACAGAGGAGATTTTGAAAACTCATTACGAACTTAATTTTAAAGTTATAAGCAGAGTTATTTGATGGTTAAATGATCAATTATATTTCACTCACAGAAGTGTAAGCTTGTGATGTCACCTGTTCGTCTGTAAGGTTTGATAGGAGGAACATGTTACGTTCCTGTACCACAAAATGCCTACATCTGGAAACATAATAAAAGGTTAGATGTTTTGTCTTGTAATGTTCTTATGAGATTGTAAATTAATATAACAAGTTAGGAGGTGTGCACATAGCATAAAAGTCCTGGTATAACCATTATTATTGTCTTTAGATTTTCTATTTGTGAATACATTTTTATAAGTAGCAGTGACGTCAGAGTTGTCCGGGGTCAGTGATCTTTGTCCAAGGGGTTTGGTGCCTTTCTGGCTGAATCACGATGTTATCACACAATTCTGCCATATAGTTGTATGGTGGGGTGTCAGGATGGGGATTCCCCCATACATTTTAAAGGCCCCTCTGTGTACAAAAATGCACATAAGTCTTCATGTAAAGTGCCAGTTAGTGCTGTGCAATTTTAGCAAAAATATTTTTTACATGCTAACAAATTTTAATAAAATTTCCGCGTTGTCAGGTTTCATGAAAATCTGCTCAGAGATTCTCAAGATTCCTGTAAGTTTATTAATCCAATGTCCTGATACCAAGCTTGACCAGTGAACTTCCATAAATTTAAAAGAACCTGTGGACTTAGGACTCGGAGCTTTCGCAAAAAAATTATGCTTGGACTGAAATAGAATTTTATGAGCTAGTCCTGTTATATCTACACTTTATGTGCTTGTGATTTACGTACTTCAGGCAGACAACAGAACTTCACTTTTGTTTAGTTTTCTTCCGTGTTAGCACAGTTCTTATAACAAAATGTCTCTCAGTCAGCTGCAGTACTGTAGAAATGTTGGCTTAACATTTGATGTTACGCATTTCAAAAATGGCCCTCTTTCATCTGAATTCCATAACATTACAGTTCAGTCTCTTTCACTGTATTTCTGATTCAGCACTTGTCTGATCTTGGAATAAAGGCTGTTTTTTTTGTTTTGTTTTTTTTAAATAATCATTGAATTCAGTAGTGTGCTGTTTTTAGGCTTCAAAATAATTACGTGTAGCTTACAATTTCTTTGGGCATTTTAATTCTAACATAATCCAGCACGTAGGGAGGGGTCGTTTTCCTCTCCCCTCTTTGTTATACTTTTCTTGGCTTGCAGAAATGCGAGTGGTGTATGTATTTTTTGTCATTCCGTCTAGTTGGTGACTAACAGGGTATTTTGGGATAAGTCTTTCTTTACTTTTTGCCTTTCATTTTAACGTGCATATTTTCTTTTAGATTTTAATGTTTCATTACATGTGTCCAGTATTACATTTCTAACCATATTTTAATGTTCATTACATGTGTCCAAAGGACCACTGTGGTCCAGCGGTTAGAACGCTGACCTTGTAATCCTGGGGTCTCGGGTTCGATTCCCCGCGGTGCCCGAATTTATAACTTGTGTTGGGCAAGGCCGTGGTCTAGGCAACACGGAGTTTTCCTCCGTGGCATCCCAACAATTACTCCATTCACACACAGAAGAAGGCAATGGCAAACCACTTCTGGATCATCTGCCAAGAACGTATATGAACAGGTCCCAGTCCGAGAAAAGGATGGAAGAATCCTGTTCATATGGACCTGTCGTCAGACAGAACACTAAATAAAATACATGTGTCCAGTATTACATTTCTAACAGTTTTGCTGGATTGGGAGAGATTTATTAATTTTGCATTCATACAATCCAGAACTGTTTCAGTAGAATCTCTGTTAATTTGAAAATAGTAGCTGTTGTTTTGTTGTGTATAGGTTTATGAAAGGTGACTTTTTTTATTACCCCTTCCAATGTACATAAGAAACCATCACGCTTACTTTGTTTGGAGTTATAACCTTTGGATGTGTTGATTCGTTTAACATTTGAGGGGAATATTGTTTAAATGGCAATGTTCTTAGTCTTTCTACGTATCTACATTAGAAAAATTGATTTCTTGAAATTATTATCATATGAATTATAAGGTAAATTTTTTTTATCAATTTTGAGGGGCCCTGGCCCAAGGAATTAATGTTTTTGTTATCCAAAAAAATGTATGTGTGTTCTTAAATTTAGTGATAGTATCTCCACAGCCTAATATCCATCTTTAATTTTAATGTGTATTTTTTTTTTCACACAAATAATTTGTTGTGAAATTAGGATAATTTTATGCACTCTGCATGCTAAATCCATCATTGAAAAGCATAATTTGTTTCGATCTCATGGCACTCTTGCATGTGGAAGTAATAATTTATAATGAATGTATCTTTTTTTAAATTCTGGTTGAAGACCGTGGTAGTGTTTACAAGTACTCTGCGAACAGTTGCAAATAATCATATGATGGCACCACAAATCAGAACTTATTGATATTTGTATAGTGTCACAGAATCACCCTGTAATTATGTGTGGTGACAACATACAACAGATATGAAAAGGTTCGATCACAATTGTGATGTTTATTGCCTTGAATAAAAAGTATCCTCGAGATGGAAGCGTTAAGTAATCATGTATAACTGATGTGAAATTGAATGGAATTTGGGAAGGGTGGTGGGGAAAGAGAGGAGTTGGATCAGTGTGCCATCACAAACAGATGTGTCTGCTCTTTCGTGAAGATGTGGTGAGTCTGTGAGTAATGAGAATAATTCATGTTGGAACTAATTATTAATCGAACTAATGATGTAACATGTTACAAGATGAAGATTTCCGTCTTCTGGGTTGTTGTATTTTGTTTTGAAAATACCACATTGTTGTAGCATCTTGGCACTTTTTTTTAATGGAAGAATGTTATAGGATTGAAACCAAAAGGCAGGTAGGTGATGGCTGAAAGTGTTTTGTTTGGTGAATCGTTGACTTTAATCCAGTCAATCAACCATGTACATCAATGCACCTGTTGTTATCAGTAACTAGAGCTACAGTGGTTCTGTGGATTTGAGCGTGGAGCCGTTTCTCCAACAGAGGCAAGCACCACCAAGAACCACTGTTGCAATGTTTGCCTACGCTACTGGGAGAGCAGAACCCGCCAGGGCTGGAGATGGGTGCTTGATGTCGATGACCCCTGTGCAAGGGCCATTATGTTTTGCATCACTTATACTAGTGCTGAAGGACCGGGTAAAAATTCTGTGGCAGAAAGGATGGTGGTCTATTTAACTTGACTGTACCATGGCAATATGATAAATGGTGGGGGGGGGGTATTATTATCTTTCAGAACATACCGTACGCTTGCTGAGCTTGTTAAATATTAGTAATGCAAAGGTTGCCCAAATTTAATGTTATTGCTGACATTCTGAGTACATGAGGTGTGAGACGTGTTGCCATACTGAGTGCTTCCGATGGTGCTGAGGGATTAAATAATGAAGATGGTTGTCGTCTGGGATGTTGCACAATGCAGTCTGGTGGATATTAATGACAGAGACAGTAAGCTTTTCTGAAATGCTGGTCAATATCTATCAGACTACACAGTGTAACATCCCACAAGACAGCCATCTTAATATTCATTACTATGACAATCTGATATCTTACTAGGTTAACTAACCTAACCTGCGCAGTATGTCATTTGAAAGAGAATATGTTGCGGTGTCCTGTGTTTGTTGTAAGTTGTGTTATCTGTTTCAGCCTTGCATCTGCTACTTTCCTACCAAAATATTTCAGTTCAAGTTGGAGCTTTTGCAAGTTCCAGGTTCCAGGAGGGCCACAGTGTATGTGTGCCTTCGGAGCCGATAACAACTCCGTAATAGGTAAGTCTCAATTCTTGTACCCATTTTCCAAGCTTATGACTCCCAAAAAAAGAATTATGAATTGGAAAAGGTGTTGAAGGAAGTGGTCATGGCCTGATTTAAGGGAATATTCTGGTATTTACATGGAGAGACTGAGGAAACCCATGAAAAACCTGTCAATGTAGCTGATCGCTGTGTCAAAATTTGAACCGGGGACCTCCCACATACGCAACAGAAGAGCTAATGACTCGGCTACAATAATTGGTTTCATCTAAATTATATCCTTTCTCAAAATTTGGTCTGTGGATGACACAAAGTAATGCATTCTTGAATGTACTGCAGGTGTTTGCCTTGTTTAAATGTTTGTCATTTTTGTGTATTGTATCTTCTCAGTCACTCTGTGTATGGAATGCAGATTGTTTCTCATGAAGCTGTGTCGTTGTATGTTATTTCTTTGACAGTGATATGTGCAGATGGCAGTTACTACAAGTTCATGTTTAACAACAAGGGAGAAGGCTCACGTGACGTGTATGCTCAGTTTCTGGAGATGACAGATGACAAGATGTAGCACACGAGAGTGTTCAGGCGGACAGGCAACATGATGGAACAGAACAGGATGTTCCCTTCCCTTCTGCCCACCTATCCTGGTTGTCCTCTGCGTGTTGCCATGAGGGAGAAGTGCAGGTATTGGTAGCGTTGGCGAGTCTTCGGCCGCTCGTCTGGTATAGACCTGAGGTATGCCAGCGCACTATGGAAATTTCTCTTTGCGTTCAGTGTTATAGTTGGCAAGACGTTGCTTTTATAATTGAAACACGTTAAATGTGTGTATATAGTGATATTACTCAATATGAACGGCAGATATTCCAAATTAAAAATTTAATCTGCTGTGAATCAGTAGATAGTTTTATCATGTTTGGTAGAGTTGTGATACTGTGATTAAAACATGTAGGTGTTAATTTTATTTTAACAGGTTAATTTTCATCTTGTTCTTTATTGTACTGAAGAAGAGTAAATTATTCTAATTAATTTTTCTATACAAGGTAAATCTCCCATGACACATCTGCTATAGAAAATTGGGCACTTAAATTCAGACCTAGATTTATGGTTAGTGTTTAGTGATGTTTAAGGGTGTAATTTCTTCATTTATGTGAATTAAATATATGTAGCTTTCAAGTTGAACATGCATCACATTTAAACATTTGGTGAGGTTTGTGGTTAAATCATATATAAAGATCAGATTTTAATATATATTGAAATTATAATTATTTAATAAAATACATACCATTAAGTCATAATATGCAACTTTATATATGTAGGTATATAAGGATGTAAAATTGAAAGGCAATGGAATTTCGTTGAGTACAATGTTAGAATTTATGCACATACGCTATAAAATCACTTTTTTTTTTTTCAAATTTAGTCTACTTTTTAGATATATACTGTTTCTTAAGTTTGATGGTGGACCAATTATTATTGAAAGTTATACATTTAATAGCTTAGAATGGCTTAACTTTACGTGACTTGTTTGTATATTTCGTATTAAAATGTGGTGACCTGATTTTGGACACAGAACTCCCAGGTGCATGTAATTTGTTCTTGGGTTAGTAATGATAAAAGACTGAAAAATGTGAGGATCATTGTGAATAGTGAAATAAGATTCAAGTGGAATAAGTTGTGCATCCATAGCAAGTGTATCTTGATTCTGGTATATTGTTAGAAACCTAAACAGATGCGAACATAAGTTAGTTTTATATTTATATCTGATGGTGTTTAAGTAATGAAGTCCTATTGTGGAATATTTTAAGGCACCATTTGACAGTGAGCACTGAAGAAGAACATGTCACACACATCCTGACTTAGAATATCAGTGTTACTTACTTTGATACGTCTGCTGTTAATTATGTACAGTTAATTCCAGATACTTAATAATATTTGTGTTTTTAATATTATTAAAATGGTAGGTCATTTATGATACAGTAAAATTAATTTTAGATATTGCCAACTAAACATGTGAGCAGAGCATGTTTTGGAGGTTCTCAGTTCAGATCCCAGGTGGGGACCACATTTCCTGACAGGTTTTTTTATGTGGTTATCTTCGGTTTATCCTAGCGAATGCTAGGATGGTTTGTTAGATTTGTCTACGACTGCTTTCACCCACATTCTTACTGATTCATCTTTCATAATTTCTTTTACCATATTTAATTTGACTCTACGTAAACACAGCAGTTCATGCTGTATTATAAAATAGCCAAATAAACAAATAGCAATATTACTTTCAAAATTGTAGTTGTTTTATAATTTAACATTAATAATATGAGACAACAGTTTTGGATTCCATACCCTCAGTACTCTGTATCAGTGTTTCTCAACTTAGACTGTTCTGCAAACCAGTAAAATATCTAAATTCTCATCTGTGGGCTGTCAAAAGTATTTAGGTATACGTATATATTAAATTCTTAAATAAACTGAATAGAAGTTTTATTAACATCTTTTTTAGTTTGTTTCGTTTATCACCAAATCAAAACAAATCTACATTAAGAAATTGCGTTTAAAGGCATATAAATATTAAGCCAAAAGTGTATAATAAAAGCAAATGTATAAATTGAAGATAATCAGCATAATTGTTGTTCTTTCTCAGTCATTAGTTTTTTATCTTATTTGTTGTTATTTTTCTTTTAATCCTTGGAATCACATTTTCCTGACAATTTTAAGAAACAAAAGACATTTGGAGGAAAAAGGTTTTCAGACTAGTTGTTGAGAAATACTGCTGTTTTATCATATAAAATGGACAGATGCTGGAAGAAGGATATTTATTATATTCTCTTCTTCAGAATTATTTAACTCTTTACCCTTTCCGTCTAATGTTAGCACATGGTGTTTTATATTATATTGTCTTCCTATTTTAAATTACATTTCATAGTTTTAGTAGGAAGAAGCAGGATCCTTTCAAATTTACAGCATTAGGAGGAGCAAACCCAAACTCCGTACTGATAACAACGTGTTCCTTATTCAGTGGTGTTAAAATCTTTCAAGGAATGTGTTTTCCATGTGTACTGTAATCTCATACTTTATGGAGCAAGCTTTCTGGTAGTTAGAGTAATTGTTTGAATGTAATGTTATATGGGCCGCCAACAATTTATAATGTGCTTACATCAGAGAGTACACCGTCTTCCAGCTTTTCACCAGAACATAACAACAATTTTAGTGACTTGCTTCAATTGTCATATGGCTGTTAGAAGAACGAAGCGTAAATGACAACAAATCTCAGGTTGGATTACAAAGAAACACAGGTAACGGCCATAATCGATTATCATGGTCATAATTTTACAACACCATTACATCAAGTCTTCAACGAGTTGAGAGAAAATTTGACTTGAAGATTTACTTCACATTACAAATCTATTTTTCAGGATGCTGTTTTCAGATGATGGCAGTCTTTACATATTGGCTGTGTTCTTGATATTCTGGAGATTTTATTGTTTCATATATAAGGCCTTGAACTGAATTTTGCATTTGAGTAATGCTTCATATTAGGGAGTTGCTGGGTTTAAATCTCAGCCCAGAGACTAGCTTTTGTGACAGGTTTTTCATTGTTTTCCTCAGTCTCTCCATGCAGATGCCAGAGTAGCACCTTAAATTAAGTCACAACCACTTCCAACCACATCCTTTCCATGTCAAACCTCATTAAGTATCTTCTTTTCTGATACTGCATAGTCTGAACTACTGACAGCATTGTTAAATAAACCTCAAACAACTTAATAAATATTTAAGGCTGTAAATATGGAATCAGTGAAGATCTCCAAAATGCTGGCAATTGAGCCCACATCTGTATTATGCTATAGTCCAACAAAAGTAGATTCCACATTAGCATCAGACGTCTGTGAAGGCTTTAATCATCTTTAGTGTTGATCTCTCTTGTATTCTCATTTTAGAGTTTTATTTCACAAACTCCTTGCTTTGTATTTTTATATAGGCTTCTGTCAGGAATTGTGTGTTTAAGAACTCGAGGCTGCCTCAAAGAAGGGGAAGTGCATTTTCAGCCTTGACACACGTAAATTGTTGTAAAGATATGGCAGAGAAACCTGACAGTTTTGAAATAAAAATGTCTCAAACAAAAATTATTTTTTACCTAATGTTTGTAACAAAATGAGCTACTTTACCAATAGCTTCTTGAGTTCTGGTTCAACTTTTGCTGTAGATTCCCAGCTCTAACAACATTTGATATGTAATCAAAGAGACATGCTTATACGATTCAAGCAAATAATTTATAATAATGAAACGTAAACGCTCGGCTACAGGTAACTGTAATATTGACAGGCAGGCTGCGTGGAGCTCCAAATAGTGCCCAACCTCCTTCTTTCGCTTGGCACCGAACCTGACCGTTACATGCTGTATGTCTGCTGGATGTCTCATGTGTTTCTCATCACATGCAGGACACTTGGTTGAAGCCTCTGTCACAATCTTCCTTCTCTAAGCACATGTGAGGCAGCTTATTGAAATTAGTTGAGAGAACTCACGCGAGGACTGTTATGCTAGAAAAACAATAGAGCCTCCTCTGCATTTGTGTCAATGTTGGCTTTTTCAAAGCAAACATAATATGAAGTAATGATTATATGAGACCAGTATAAATCAGAATTAAGTTTTTGTTAATTTTGTACAAAGAGTGCATACGAGTCTTGTAATGAAAAGTGTAACAAAGTATATACAAATTAAAATCATTATTTACCCTTCCTTAATTACAAAAGCTGTGAAAAGTTAATGTCTAAACATGTTTTCCTCTATTGTGTAGAAGTGAGGCCATGGATGAGTGAACTGTCTTTTATTTCAGTGCATTATTTCCACAAAGCAGCATATAAAACATATAACAAAATAAAAAATAATATGATTACGTATCTTCACTTAATTAAAGAATATACAGGCATACCTCGTTTTATTGCGTTTTTTTACAAATTGAAGGTTTGTGGCAACCCTGCGTCAAGCAAGTCCATCGCCGCCATATTTTCCAACAGCATGTGCTCACTTCGTGTGTCTGTGTCACATTTTGGTAATTCTTGCAATATATGCACTGGGAAACCAAAAAATATGTGCGACTCGCTTTATTGCGGTGGTCTGGAACCGAACCCGCAATATCTCCGAGGCATGCCTGTAACATGATTCAATGTTCTGAAATTTCAAATATATCTTATATGATCTTCCTCATGTCTGGCCCATTGTGTGGTTTATTGCAACAATACAAAATAATCCTCTGTTACTTCCTTTTCTATAGTTACTTCTTAGGAGAAGACTGGATTCTTTAGTTAGCTGAATATTGTTTTCATTAATTAGTCAAACATATTATTATTATAAAAAGTGGTTATTTGGTAAAAATGCGTCTCAGAAGTGTGATCCCAAGTGCTCTCAGACAGGAAAAGGGGGCCCTAGGACTGCTGTATTGAGGGGCCTCCTTACCCTGTTGCACCCCCCTTAATGTAACCATTAGCCTCTTTCATATATGTCTTCCCTGTATTGCCCAGCCTGCCCACACTTCTTATCCATGATCCATCCTTTTGCTTTCTGCTGCTTTGGGTGCTTGATTTGCCCCTCGCTTAGCTCCATTCTTTATTTGCATTCTTCAGTTGACCTTTTTTCTGTCACACTCCCTCCAGCCCATACCATTTCCCATCATTTCTCGGCTATGACAGGCCCATTTCAGCATCACCACTTTAGCCCTGAAGATGGACACTACATATTTTTCTCCAAAATAATGTTATCTACATACAAGTCCCTGCTGTGACACATCCCAAACGAAATGTTGACTAACGGACATCTTATATATATTTTCCATGATGAATTCACATGCATGTTACATATTAAAGTCTTTGTGTTTAATCGATTGACAATTTGATGAACATTTGTTGTATTCATTAAATCAATTTTAAGGAAATTTATTGTTCCCATTTACGTGTTTATGTATTCATTATTATCACATCCCTTATTTCTAGTTTTTTTTATCAGAATTTGAAGAAAGCTTACTGGCTGTGGACCACTTTTTCATGATTATAAATGTGCGGTTTGCTGATTCTACAACTGGCTTACATCTAGTTCAGTAACTCTTACATTACTATCAGCTGCAAATTGAACTGGCAAAGAGACAGTTGAATCCAGCTCCTAAGCCACTAATATGCGCAGAAGAAAGAACACACAAAGAAAAGGGCCTTGAGGTACTCCATGTCATCGTTTACTGCAGTCAGAACATTTTTAAGAGTATTTGTTGATTTTATCATAACTGTTTGCTGTTTTTACACCTTTCACTTCCCGGCCTATAAATCCAGCTCCTCACACCCTATTGGCATATTCATCGCCCTGATGACGGAGGCAGTATGACCTCTGAAACGTTGGTTAACATCAACCAGACTACACAGCGCAATAACCCAGAAGACGGATATCTTCATACTCACCGCTGTGAGAACCTCAAGTCTTACATGTTTGGTTTCTGTTTGTCAGATGCAAAGTTGGCCCATTTACTAGTATTTCCATTGATTTTGTAACAAGGTAATTTAACCATTAATATGCTTTGATTAACACAGAGAGGTCTTACCAAAATTACAGAATTTTCCTGCTACATCACTACTGAGTGCCTGATTGTTACATGATTAAGACTGTAAGTGGCTTTGTTAGTGTAAGGATTGAAGATTCTTTTCTTCTTGGTTTACGACAAGCAACGTGGCCAAAGGTTTTAAAATCCCAAATAACAGGTGAAAATTATATTTCCACCACAACTTCTTTGGGAAGAAACCCTTCCTTTTTCATGAGGCTGTCATGTACTTTCTTCTATGGGCCATCTGTTGCAGTTACAAGTTTGTTGAATTTAACATGATTCATATGGAAGACAGTGCATTAACGTGCCAAACAAAGTTATTTATAAAATAATATTATTTTGCAATGGTGACAGAATCGACAGTTTTGTGTTTGTGCTTAAATCCACTATTGAGGTCACGTTTTTGAATGGATACATTATTAGGAATGGCATAAAATTACAATAATTATATAATCATGCTCTAGTAGAATGTAAATATGAAGATAGTATTTAATTTTACATATAGTAATTTAACTCAAGTTTTCAGTGTTAATATTACATTGTGTAAAAGGCATGTTACAAAGAATGTTTTTATACATGAAACGAAAACAGTGAATACAGTTTTAAAATACAAGAAAACACAAATATTCCTAGTCAGTAATAATATTTTATATTTTATTCTGACCATAATACATTCCTGTTTCTTTCCTGCATTAGAACTTTTCTGTCTTTGACAGTAAAAGTGTTAATCAGCGTATCTGTCCTAGGTCTGAGTGTGATAAACTTCCAAGCATGAATCAGTTGCTGAAATAAAATCAAGATACTGATCATAATTTTCATTATATTCTGTCTGTAGTGTACAAATAAAACAGTTTTATTCTTCTTTCATATTATGATTTTCCGAGAATTTTGTGTTTGCAAGCGTGGTTGTACTTTTGGTGACGTACGCAGGACAAACAATGCTATGTCAACTATTTCAATATCCTGGGATCTGAGGATCTAATGACACTGATGATGTAGGTTGTTTACCAACGTTTTCGTGGAATGTGTGTAACTGCTTAAGACCACAACCCACAAGAGTACAATTGATATCTTAATGTTGATTTGTATGCTGTCTCGGTTGAGACCCCTTTCAGTTACTGAAGTTCATACTCAGAATATTTCTTTACTTGAACAGGATTTTAAGATTGCTGGAATGAATTCTCTTTGAAAGCATCTATGTAAATTTTATTCCTCCACTCTGTTCCCTTTTGGAAAAATACAAATTGCTTTGTCAACTTGTCTAAAGATATCTTATTACATGTGGTGTCATAAAAATATAACTAGGTATCTGTTGAAGTGTATGACTAAGTTTGGTTACTTTACATTTCTGTGGCTATAGAAAGGTTTTTTTAAATTTAAAATGTTCCAAAACATTCAGTGTGTACTATATGTATTGCACACTTGTACTTGTCCATCTTATAACAGAAGGTGGACACGGTGCTTCCCACATAACGACCCTTATTGACCACGTGTTGCATCTTGTGTGCAATCTGACTAGCATACTCCTAAACCATTAACCCTGGAGAAAATGTCTAGCTGGAGGACCTGTACTACAGTGATTTAAACCCTCTATTCTCATATGATGAAGGTTACATTTTCCAGTAACCTTAGACTTTGGGAAGCACAGTGTCAAAATATTGCAAACGCAGATAATATACCACAAGAAGAAAAAGCAGTATTTACAATAATGTCAAAGAGATTTCAAAAAGTTGTCAGAATTTTTATGGTTATAATTGCTATCTTCATTCTGGTTGCGTAATGCATTTTTGTTTGTGACATTGTATCTCTTTCCATAATATGTCAACAGTTCATGGCACTTTAATTTGAAGTTTCTAGCATTCTTACTGCAAATTGTAATCCACTTTAAAACTGTTTTTGCAGTAGAGTTTTTGTATTTTGTAAAAATGAATACAAAATTTAAAAGAATTAAGTTTTGTTTTTCAGATACTGTATGAAACTTGAACAGCTGCAATATATTGAGAATATAAGAATGTGCAAGTTTTCCAGTTGTCTGATTGTAAACAGGGGAATTATGTACAGTTCAAGTTAAAGTGTTGCCATTACTTATGTATACATGTTATGGTCACATGATTTGTTCAGGAATGTTTTATGTCACATTAAAATAATTTACACATCTGCCTCTTTGTAATAAGACAATTTAAAATAAGCCTATGCATTGTAAGATAGCTCCTTTCTTAAATTTGAATTTATTTAAGCATGTCAGAAACCTTGGGTTGAACTCTTTTTTTTTAAAATTAAAAATGACTTGATTTGAAATTTTGTCGATTTGGGTCCTTTTAAGTGGGATTTGAGGTTCTTATGGTGGGTTGTAACTTCATGTAGTCTGGTTGGAGTTTACCAATGTTTCAGAGGTCATTGCTCATTGCCCTTATGATATAGGTAGCAATGACCTTTGAAACTGTAAACTTCTGCCACACTTATGGCACTACAATTCAGAACACAGACATATTCTTACTTCAAAAAAATGTTTGCTTAAAATTTGAAAGTACTAGTTGCTGTTTAAACATAGACAAACTTGTCATATTTTCTCTTGTAAGAAGTTTATGGAAATTATGTATTGCAGTTTCTGGCCATTCATTTAGTGTTTCCAGAAAGTGCCATGAATTTCTGTGGGCTCAAGGTTTTGACATAGTAAGTTACACATTCTCTTACTAATAATCAAAATGTCCATATATATATATGTTACAATACCAACATAGGAGTAACTTACAAGTTTTTTATTTTATTTTATAAACCCATTAATTTATCTGCAGTCTTGAAGATTGCCTAAAACTAGTTCCTGTATATGAGAATATCACATTGTCAGAATTTGTTAGTAAAGATTAGTCATCACAAAGTAGGCATAATTTATAAGCATAATGTTAACTTTTAAATGACTTACATAACATTTAATCAGATATGGATGATATTAAATAAAGGAGCTACTATCATATAATTGTATATTTAAAAATTGAGAATGATCTAAATATATATAGGTATTGTTTTAATGTTGTATTTATAAGCCTTCATATTTTAAGAGACATATCTTGTTCTTCTGGGGTCAGGAAATGTGCGGGAATATTTGGAAGTGGTTTTGATGTAAAACTATGGTAAGTAATTAGATTATTCAATGTCATATGAAGTGTCCCATAAAACTTCACAGAATACTAATCTCTTATGTTTAAAATTTTCTGTTATCATAAAACATTTATGTAGTGTTAAAAATAGTACATTGTATAGTGAGTGTTATCATGCAGCATTGATAATGGATATTTTGAACAAATACACAT